CCTCCTTCTTCTCTCTCTCTCTCTCTCTCTCTCTCTCTCTCTCTCTCCCCCCTCTCTCTCTCCTCTCTCCCTAGTAGTTGCTGAATCTAGGGTCTTGCATATTCTAGAAAGTATGCCTTCACTGAGCTACACCACTTTATCTTTTTTAAGCATTTAATTTAAGACAGGATCTCTCTAATTTTCCCAGGCTGCATTTCTCCTCAGCATCACATTTTAAATCAATTCCATTTGTTTTTGAGAGTGTATCCTTTGAAAATAACTTGGGACACTGAAACATCTTATGAAGGTGTCCCATATACACCTTAGTAAAGAGGGAGCATATTATATATGTCTATTCTTAGTGTTTGGGGGAAAAATGAGGAAAGTTGAAACACCCAGCTAGGGAAACAGGGAGTCTGAAGTGGGGCCCAAGGCCAGGGAATGCAGGACTTCAACCAAAAACAAAATGTAGTCACTCTGGTCAATCTGGAGATGTTTTCATTAAAGCAGAAGATTATGGGATGAGAGGAGGGAATGGCTGGGTGGAGCTCTGAACTCTGTCCTCTCATCACAACTCACCCATTGAGAAAGGCAGGAAGGATTCTTTCTTCTTAAACTGTCCGTTCTCCAAAAAGTGCTCTGGATTAAAGGTTTCTGGGGTGGCCCACTCTTTGGGGTCACTGTGTAGTGCAGTCAGGTTTGTTAGAAGCATAGTGCCCTAGAAATGATGGTAAAGAGTCAAGCTTCAATATATGGAACAACCCTTCATGGAGGTAAATGTAGATACTTCTTGAGCTCTCATGCATGACTCTCCCCTAGTACCTTCTCCTTTGTCAAGATAACTTTGTATTGACTGTGAGTGCCTTCTGGGGATATTCTAGTCCATTAGGTTGCTCTTTAATACTGAATACAAGTCTATGGGAAGAAGTTTGTACAGGTCTAGGGAAAGTCATGTTAGCATGCAAAGAAGAATAATGAGGCACCTCCTACTCTGAAGACCTGGGCAAGTCTATGAAAGGAAATGATGAGCCTTCCTTCTCTGTTTTCCCATTCTTAATCCTCAGTGTGGAGCATTCTGAATCCAGTTCTCTGGGTTAGGAGCACATCAAGAAAGCAAAGTTTGCAAGCTTATTCCATTAGGCTTCCCGGCAGGGTGCCTGGGCTCTCCAGAGCATGCCCTTTATCACACTGAATCACCCATCATCCTAGCAGTGACTTTACCCATTCTTCAGGTCTCTTGACTTTGTCATGTCCATTTCTGATGCTGAGAACCACCTTAGTGCAGGTGGCCCCTTGCTATCTGAGTCCCACATCTACCGCACAACTAACAGTGAGGTGTGCCATGAACGTGATCATTGTGTCACCTCCCATGATTTTATTACACAATATGTAGCATGCTTTCATCATCTTATGCTAGAATGAACACATTTCCAGAGTTAATCAACAAATGGCAGCAGAATTTCCCTGACTGGAGATAGCACCATCTTTTGTGGTGTGGAAGGTATAAGTTTCAGGAAACCCTATGCAGAGATCTTGAGGTAACTGGGAGATGTGATAGGGATTCAGTCTATAAAGAGAAGGCTTTTCACAGGGATTCATGGAGAAACATCAGAGGACATCTTTTAAATGTCAAAATACTGCAAGCCCCATGGAAGAAGCATAGGCTGATCAGAATAATCAGAACAGGTTTGGTCCCAGATTCCCCATTATGTTTAATAGTAGAGAGATTTTATGTAAATCTAATTTACTTAAGCCTCACTTTCTAATCTCAAACATGAGATGGATAGTTATTCGGAAAAGCGAATAAGACATTGTGAAGGAGGTAAAAGTCAACAGCACACAAATATCACTTAGAAACTGCTGACCCTCTGTCCCTTTCTAATACTGTATTTTCCCTCATTTGACAGAAATCATTTGTATGTAAATTATAAGCCTGTGGTTCGCTGATTTAGAAACAACAGTTTCACTGTCATGGTAGCACAAGTGCCTCAAGTTTCGTTCTCATTTCTAATTCAATGTTTCAAGGCCTGTGTAGCAGCATTTTCTAGCCCACTCCTGCAGTCCCTTGGTCTTGAAAGCTGCTCTCTCAGGTATCATCGAGCAGAGAACTGCTGACTGTGTTAGCCCACATTAGCAGGGGAAGATGCTAGGATGCCTTTAGCCAACAAAGCCAGGCTTTACCTAAATGTGGCTAAGAAGTCTTCTTTCCCCACTGTATATGTAGATATCTGTTTAGCTGCATGGAAGAAAACTAATATTGTAGCAGGCACACTATCTTTCTGCCCAATTTAAATGATCTCTTAAGGAAGGAATATATGTCACCTTTAGTTTACATTTTTAGGATGAGGTAAACAATTGTCAGAGATATCCAAGGCTGGGAGTGCATAGTTACCTTTGGCAAGTGGAATCCATTCAAACTGGTGTCCTTTGACACTTCCCTGGGAACATTCACAGGGAGGATGTTACCCATTCTCTGCACCTCATGGACGACAGCATTGGTATAGGGCATGGACTCTCGGTCCGCCAGGCTTGCCTGTCTCTTCTGGCCAATCACTCTGTCAATCTCAGCCTGTACTTTTTCTGAAAGAAAGCAGGAGATTCCATTAATTTCCAAATTTAGTTATTTCTTCTTATGAGATCTAATCTATAAGATCCTGAGTAAATTGGGAGCATGGGGACTTTGGGGGAGGGTTGAAGATGGGAGGGGTGAGGCAGGGAGGGGAGCAGAGAAAAATGTAGAGCTCAATAAAAATCAATTAAAAAAAGGAGAAAAAAGCAAACAAAAAATGAAGCAGTCTTGCTTTGATTTTATTTTAGAGACCTAGCTGTATAGATGTTTCCTTAACCCTTTAAAAGATTGATTTAAAGGACAAATCCATAATTCAGTGATATTTCTCTGAGCCTACAACATAATCTTAACTTTCCTAAATGGAATAGCTGTGTTAACATGGCTAACCTCAGGGAAGTACCTAGTCTGATATGAGTAAGTTCCTTTCCCAAAATGTATTGCAAACAATTCACATTCATGCTTCATAGTCCTAGAGCCTGAGGATGCTTAGTGCAGGGCGCCAAGATGTTTCTTATCTGGTATGAACAAGTTTCTGTCTCATTGATGAGAAAGCTTCACTGAATCCTCATGTCATAGGGAGAATTAAGTCTCTGATTCTTCTTTTATAAAAAGTTAATACTTTTTATAATAATATATTTCTGTCAGGGGAGGGTGTCTCATGGCACAAGAGTGGAGGTCAGAGGACAGCTGGGGAAGATGACTCTCGTCTTGTACCATGTGAGTTTTGGGAACTGCAGTCATGACAATGGTGAAGTAGCAAGATCCTCTACCTCTTGTGCTGTCTCTCTGGCTTCTCTGCTACCTCTTTTAAAGGTGATTATTCCCTTCATAGGACCAATCACCTTCAAGCACCATTCCACTGGTAATTAAGTTGCAACAATTGGATTCATAGAGAACACACGAACATTCAGACCACAGCATATCTGTAGGCTCTCATTTCTCAAGGAGATACATCAACATGGGTAGTGGATAGCAAGAAGTCGCTGCACAACATTGCTAATGAAATCCTTTAGATTTCAGTTTCCATATCTGATTAATGAGAATAACTGAGCCTTATCTTAAGGATGACTTGAAATTTATATGAACAGATAGAATCATAATAATGAGTGATAATGGTTGTTATCTTTCTTCCAATATGCTCATAGAGCTTAAACAGTTATCCAGCTAAAAAGTCAATCTCCTGGATTCCTATTGGTATTTTGTGATATTTTGAAGCTGTTATTCTAGAGGTCAAGTATGTATTCTAACTCAGTAGTATTAATACTTAAAAAAGATTATTCTCCAGCAACATACATATTTTAAGTGAAATTCAGTATGCATATAAATAAATAGAGGTACACATATGCATTTTGAATAATAAAAGAAAAATATTTGGGCATGGAGGATAGTTCAGTCAGTAAAGCAAGCTTGCAGACCTGAGTCTGATTCTTACAATTCTTATTAAAAAGTTGGATATGGTGACACTCACTTCTAATCCCAGGGCACTACATAGTTGATGACAGACAGATCCCCATGGGTTAGTGATCAAGCAGTGTAGGTTATTTGAGAAGCTCCTGGTGCATGAGAGACCCTGTCTCAAAATTGGATAGTCCCTGAGAAATGATAATTTGAAGCTGTGCTAGGGCTTCCACATGTACAAACCCTCAACACACACACACACACACACACACACACACACACACGAGGGGGTAGTTCTTCAAACAATTTTTTCTTTACCACATGGGAAGCACTCTGATTTTCTCTATCCAGATTTCATCTTTCTGCAAAAACCATTGGCCTGTATTGACTAACTTGATTTTATACCTCATGGATAAACTGTTACTCAGTATTTGAAAAAAAAAAAAAAAAAGAACAAACAAGAAATATGTTCCTATCCTCAGATCATTAAACTTTTCTAGAATCTGAAGGAATACACATAATAGCATGGACCACTCTCCCTAGTGAATGCCATTCAGTGGAGGGAGAAAAAAGACATCCAACAGAGACATGGAAGAGTATCTGGTTATCTCTAGAGGAAAACAACAGTAATTCTCTCCAGTTATCAAACTCATGAAGGGATTTGAAATGACTTCGGGAGGTAGTACCTGAGAAGATTCTTCTAGAATGGCTAAAGACTGTGATAGAACACTCTTGATACCATGGCTTAGAGGCAAGAATTAGAATAATAAGGGTAGGGCCAAGAGAGGACATAGAGTGTAAGAAGAAGGGTACCACCCTGGGTGAGTGGGGTTTAGGCGGAAAAGGCAGAAAGGTGACATCACAGTACATTGAACACCAGAAAAGAGTTTGGACAGAATTCAGGGGAAAATGGAAGCCTACTGACAATGGAAGAAGGACATGAATGGATGCACTTTGTAAATGTCTGCAGGCTTGGGACCCGTCTCAGTCCTGAGAGAACATGGAAAGGTAATGTGCCATTACTCAGGGCACATTGCCTCACAGCTATTGCACTTCTTCCCACTCCAACATGGTGTAGTAGGTCCTTCTATATTTGTGTTGCTTTCATTGGTCATTAAAGAAACTGCCTTGGCCTAGTTGATAGGGTGGAACTCAGGTAGGCAGGGAAGACAGAACAGAATGCTGGGAGAAAGAAAGCAGAGACAGGCAGATGCCGTGGTTCTCCTGCCCAAGACATATGCTGGTTAGACTCATGCTGGTAAGCCACAGTCAAGTGGCGATACACATTAATGGAGAAGGGTTAAGCTAATATGTTAGCCAATAAGAGGCTAGAGATAATGGGCCAGGCAGTAATTTAATTAATATAATTTCTGTGTGATTATTTCGGGTGTAAGCTAGCAGGGTGGCCAGGATGAAAAGCAGGCCCACTCCTCTCTCACTAAAGCAACATGTTCTCTTCTGGCACCATCTAAGCTATGGCTTCCAGAATTCTGCTTTGTCCAGTGAAGTCACCACCTGTTCACCTTGGACATCTGGGTAGAGAGTCATGAAGAGCAGAGCCCAGCGCAGGGTCGTGGATGTTGTCTCTGTTCCAGCAAAGAAGAGGTCCAGAGTACTCGTGATGAGGTTTTCTTCATTGAAACTTGTAGTCTTCTCTGGGTACTGGAAAAGACAGTGTGTCCTTGTTTAGTCAGAAGATTTGTGATTTCTCAATACATGCTTTCTGACGCTAGGGATCACATTTGAAGCAGGCATTTAAAATGATATTCCTCTTGACCCTCTCAGCCAGCAGCTATTTCATGAGCTCATCTATTGTTTCCAGTGCAACAATACAGACATGGGCACATAAGGTCTTTGTCACCCTGAGGTATGAGTTCAATAGGACACATTTCAAATGATATTGCTATTGTTTCCAGTGCAACAATACAGACATGGGCACATAAGGTCTTTGTCACCCTGAGGTATGAGTTCAATAGGACACATTTCAAATGATATTACTGTGATCTCCTTAGAAAACATTTCCTGTTCAAAGTGCTGAAGGCTAATTAAAAGTTTCTGGTACTCAGGTGGATGAATAGCAAGACAACTATTTTCTTGTGACTTTATTTTTGCAAAAGCTTTAGTAGGATGATAACAGAACAGGATAAAGACACACATACATATTTAACTTCCAGTATCAGCCACATCACTAAGTCACTATCTGGCCTAAGAGGTTCACATTACCTTTATCTGCTTCAGTTTATAAGAAGATATTAATACTCATATTTTAACATGCCATATCACACTGTAGGAGATACAGCAGACATATCAAATACTCTACAAATGCTTTTTGTTGATCTAAGAAGGAATGATCTGTGTTTATTTATTCTTTGATAGCCCCATTAATCTTTCATAGGCAAAACCTTGTTTATTCCATCAATTATTCTTTGGGATAAAATTCCATCTTTACTAACTTCCTATATAATCATCATTCTTTATAATACGCATTATGTTGATGGTCTCACACCTGCACTCCATATTGTGAATTATTTGCCCTTTTTTCTTGAGATAAAATGTTGCTACTATTGATGCTATACCAGGCGGATGAACTTTGCTAGAGCATGGAAAAAATTTTACTAATGGGTTTCCCCTGGGCAGAGAAGGAATCCATCATCTAATGAGTCAAAGTTCATAGGAAGGATTTAGTGATGTGTATTTGCCAGGAGTCTATTGAGATCAGAACATTCAAAAGTAGTGTTATAGTTTGATTCTAAAGTGATCACTATATGCTCAAGTTGTGAATACTTGGTTCCTAGTTGCTGGGACTATTTTAAAATGTTCTGGAACATTGGCAGGTGGGGCTCAGCTGGAGGAAATAAGTTACTAGAAAGCCTGTGGTTGTATCAAAGCCCTGGGTCCTGCTTAATTTCTGCTTCCTGATCTACCATGACACAAACAAGCACAACCACATCTTTTTCTCATTTATTCTCTTTCATGATGGACCAAGACCCTTTGAAAATATGCGACAAAATAAACAGTGAGTCTCTTAAAATGCTTCTGCCTATTATTGTCTCAAGATGCAAAAGTATCAAATAAATCCATTCAACTGCTTTCTGTCTGATTGGATATGATAGGATGGGAGATTATGGGAAGGCAGATGACCCACCCAGACTCTAGCATTCAGTTGAACTTTGCCCGTGTCTTGCAGTTGGGGCTGAGTGGGAGTGAATGACTGGTCTTAGAAGAAATCATAAAACACAGAACTCTGATGTTAAATTGCTACTTTCACTTTCCTACATGAATAAAAGGCAAATGAGGAGTAAAGGTCAATGAGAGTCATGAAAGGGATGTATCTACCATCTACAGACAGGAAACCATGTATTTCTAATGACACCACTGAGATAATATTAATAATATTTTCACTCACAAGAGGTAGGGTATGTGAAGCAATGATGTACAAAGCTGTCTATATCTTCATTTTTGGAACATTTACATGCTTCTTGAAAATCTAAAATAGGCTGTGTAGATAATTTGAGGGGGTACAATTATTTTGAAACTATCCTTATAAGAAGGTGCTTAAGGAACACAATCAAATAGATAAGAGGAGAAGAGATGCTACAATTTTGGGATTGAAGACAGAAAAAGGAACCAAAGCAAAAGATATCAGTGCCCTCATAGTCAGGTGTGGTGGTGCTCATCTTTAATCCCAGAACTCAAGAGGAAGAGGCAGGAGGGTCTCTGTGTGTTCAAGACCAGCCCGGTCTACAGAGTGAGTTGCAGGACAGCCAGTGCTACATAAAGAAAACTTGTCTTGAAAAACAAAGAAAAATGTAAGAAAGCAAGCAAACACACAAAAATGTTGTCAGCTTTAGGGGCTTGGAAATACAGGGTCATATAGTTCCCATAGTCTTTTAAAGAATGTTATGTGGCCAAAAGGAATAACATATCATGAGAACTGTAAGAGAATAAAGCTGTGTCATGTTAAAGCACTAACTTTGTGGTAGCCTGAGGCCTGATCACTTGACAACTATTAAGCCATTACATTGTCTTTAAGAAGAAGACACAGGAGCATCTTCCCAACCTTTGTCATTTCCGTGAGGAAAGCATCAATGAAGTCTCTTGGCTCATCAGGATTCCAGTCTCGCCGGTGATTGTCAATTATAGAAGAAACAAATGATTTCAGTTTTTCCCAGTTTCTGAAAAGTGTCTGGTGTGATCCAGGAAGATATTTCATTATCCATGGAAAAATATTGTAGAGCTGATTGGGAAAAACAATGCAGTCAATGGGACACCATGATGCCACTTTACAAGGCTTAAAGCTATAGTCTTGTGTTTCCCTTTGTTTCTTAACTGTGAAATTGTGGGGCCAGCTTCTCTCTTCCATCTCATTTCCTTCAAAAACATTTCTACTCTGATGTGCAAAGTGTATTCGGCTTCAGAATACTTCTTTCTAGCCTCGCTGCCTGTTATCTGCTACATAACACCATCTCTCTCTCTGGATATTAGGAGCGCATTCAATACTTTTATTGATTATACTATTGATGCCATTGCAGCTTAGTTTGCATATAATTTCCAGAAAAAATATTTATCAATGTAACCACATGCTTGACCCTGTGACTTCTATATTCACGGATGGTCTCTAGACTCAAAGTCAGAGATATAACTATTTACCTGTAAGCCCTGTGAGTTGGAACCCCCAGATCTTCATGATTGTCCCAGTTTCTCTAGGCACTCCCACCAGAGCAACCTCTGAGACCAAACTGAGGGCATTTCTGTCTTAGGCCTTATTCATCGTGCCTAAAAGAAAATGTTGCTTACCTCACTCAGGATGGTGTTTTCTATTTCCATCATATAAAGAGGAACATGGGATGTACTCACTCATATTTGGTTTCTAGCCATAAATAAAGGACATTGAGCCTATAATTCGGGTTCTTAGAGAAGCTAAATAAGGAGAACCCAAAGAAAATCATATAGGCTTCCTCCTGAATATTAACCTTCATCAGGCGATGAAAGGAGACAGAGACAGAGACCCACAATGGAGCACCGGACTGAAATCTCAAGGTCCAAATCAGAAGCAGAAGGAGAGAGAGCACAAGCAAGGAACTCAGGACCGCGAGGGGTGCACCCATACACTGAGACAAGGGGGATGTTCTATCGGGA